TAGTTAAGTAAAATCAAGGAATCGCATGGGTATACAAATTATCTACTTTTATGTGAGAGGACTACTATAATATTATACTATACTATACTATAATATATTATAGTACCTATAGAAGAAAAATACAGTGTTTTAAATACTGAAAACTTTATTTTTTTGTTACCTTCTACTAAATATGCACACAGCATGCTGTAGCATTATTCAAATAAAACTCAAATTTCACGTAGACAAATTTGAGTCAAACCATCAAACTCTAAATTAAATTAATGACAATTCACGACATTTTGCAACTACTTAACACGATAAAAGTATTAACTTGTTAACACGGAGCGGCAAATGAGGCTTAAGGTTGAGAGTTGGCTGGTTAGTAATGTTGTGAAGAGTACAACTCCACTACTAATTGAAAGAAAGGTTAAGTATAGACGAACCGACCTACATAATTATATCTGCCAACCATGTAACAGGTATTTACGTAATGTATTCTGTGTCATTAGAATAGGAATTTCATTCTACCATTTATGAAATAGGTACTTAATCCTTGTATTACATTCCTTGTAGTATCCTTGTATACTTTTAAACCATACTCATCCCAACTAAATTTTGCCCTGCCTTAGGGGTTAAGTAAAGGGCAATTTTCAAAATCTCTACTTGCAATTGTTATGTTATCAGTGATGGATATCACACACATACAGTTCACGTTATAGTGAGCAAGGAGTAATAAAACCGAACAAAATCACCCTGAAAGTTCACATTTTGAACTCACTTTGCTCTATCTAATTATTAAAAATACTTTATGCATAAATTCACACTTTTTAATAGCTAAAAATCATGCAGACGCACCAACTTCTACAAAAAAATAGTTGAAAATTATAAACAAACCCAAAATCATACTGAATACTGTATAGTCCCACAAAAACCTACTCACAACGAGTGTGAACCATTTTAAATGGGGATGCGGAATACTATCCCCCGGAAAACTACCCCCCCAGGTGAAACGTGACGTCACAAAATCTGCTAACTAACCAATATGGAAGCCGTGTCCGCGACTGGAATACTACCCCCCCCCCTAGACAAATCATGCTATTTAATTTTAATTTTAATTCGAGTAATTCCATTGGATAATAGAAAAGTCATGTGATGAATATAAAACAGAATTTCGAAATGTTAAATCAAGTTTGGTTGGTTAGGTTAGCTTAGATTAAAACTGTTTGACAACAAAATTTGAGTGACCGTGACTGGAAAACTGCCCCCCCGGTCTCTGACGTCAATATGACGTAGGAACCTGTTTGGGGGGTAGTTTTCCGGGGGGCAGTCTTCCGGCGACCCTTTTAAATCATCTTTTTGCCTGGCATGCGACAAATTGTTTGCACTTTCCGAAATTAACTCATGCAACAATATCTGCAAAGTTAATCGACCTGGACATTCGCTAATTTAATTAAGAGTCCGCAAGCCGACTCTCACTGGCGTATCTTGCTATCGTGTTACATCTGGCGAAAGTCTATTTGGGCTCGATTAGTGGACTTTTACTTTCCTTACGTTATAGTTCGATGTGGTTTCATGGTCACGCCGACCCTAAAATGTAACCGATCCTTCACTTAAGTTTAGGAACGTTTTTGTTGCACCAATTCTTTTACGATTACGTTTTATGCGCCGCGGGAACAAATTTGACAACTTTTCCCACCAAACATCCCCAAACATATACATTTTCGAACCAGTTCAAATGGGCTGATGACGTACTGTACTGAATAACTTCTCGGCCCCTTTGAAAACATCAGTGCAAGCGTTTAAGACTACATTTTTATGACTCAACATACCAAAGCGCGTATTTTGAGATAAAGTGATAGTTTTGTTACTGACTAAGAATAATAGGCTATCTAATTTTGCCATGATCATTATAACTTCGTTCGCGTTTAGGCGGTTTTAGGGGAATAATCCCCTCCACTTAACCCTTATCTTCAAAATAAAATAGCTCAACAGCTAATTTTTTTGAAAAAAAACACCAAAAATTTAGTATATTGGAATTCTCACGGAGAAAATTCCAAAAAAATTGTAAATTTAAAATTCCCATGTCATTCTTATAGAGGTTCTTATTGGATACTATGGTAACATTATGGTACAAATATCAGAATATGACAGAGAATAAGTAAACTGTTGTTGTTTGCTTGTTTATAAACATATTTTGAAAAAAAATGGAAGATGCATTTATTTTTTGCTAAACTATTAAAATTTTACAAATAAAACCCTTTTTACCAAACAAGTACTCGTTAAACTCTATTAAATAAGGAATAAATGTGATATTTTTAAGGAGACATGTGTAAATCCATTCAGGAAAATGGAAATTTGCCTAGTCTGCAGGTCTGCTGCGGCAGGGGTATTATAAATAATTGATTGCAGAGTGTATTCAAGCTATATGTGTTAAGTTTTGAACATATAAATGGTTCATGAAATTATAGTTGCAATAATTATGTGTGACTATTCCTGGTAGGCATAAAACTACAGAGTTCCTGGATGATAGATCAATTCAATAGTATTCTATCCTAGAGAATTAACATTATCACATAATATTTAAATCCTCCTAGATTCCATATGCCCTCCTTCCTACACAGAACTCACATTAAACAACCATGAATTAAGTAGGCCTATTTCAAAAGACAAAAAAGTTCAAAGCAAAAGATCTCTAAATTTGATTATCAAATTAGGCCCTATCTGTAGTTCTAGTTCTAACCCAGACCCTTTTGTACCATACGGGATATTTTCAACAATGCATTGGAGTAAAACCCAGCCAATCCATAGCAACCAGTCATGGGTAACACAGCGGAAAAGTAAAAATTGTACATATCCCTTAATCCTCCATTACAGTAAAATATTTTAAATACGTTTATGTACTGTATTTTGTCTACTGATGTCAACCACTCCATATGCAAGCTCCTTACTGGTTTAACCTTAAAAATTGTTTCTTTAACGAACATAGGCCAACTACCATATTGTTCTTTTGAACTGGGTTCATGCAGTTATATTTCAAAGATAGGCCTACTTATTCAATGACATTATTGAGTAAGAAGTTATCTTTGAAATAAGTTAGCCTGATGTGAGATTCATTAATGATGTTGTTACCGGTATAAAAGAATCTTAGTCAATTAATTTTGTTGGCTTCCCTGAGAATATTTCTTGTTTAGGTTCCAGACTAATCTTTAAGGATACCTATCTAAAACATAACTGTTTCAGCTACCTTACAAAATTATTTAAATTTGGCTACCAGACTTCTATAACGTTTATATGGAATGAACGAACGCCCTGAAGTTTAGGAAAAGAAGGGCTCTTTAAAACATGCATTCTACTGGAACTTTAGATCAAACTTGTTCAAAGGAGCTTAAGCAAGTTAAGGTAACTTAGTGTAAGACATTGGTCATAGGAGAAATTGCCGACTCATAGTCCAAACGTAAGATTCATGATTCCCCATTTTGAGTGTTTTATTTCAATTAACATCAATACTTCCTATTTCATTTAGGCAAGAAATGAGGATTAAAATAGAATATCCTAATCAATCCTAGTGTGCAAGAGACATTAGTAACACTTTTAGATTATACGATGGAGACGTATATCGACTGCACTTTGCGTCCTACACTCTTTCGAATGAATACCTATATCGATGGATTTATATCGATTAGGTATTTCATTCGATATACCAAGTTTGGTTAGTTAGGTAACCGAATGAAATAGGCTAATCAATAGCCTATATCGAATAGTCTAGCCTATATATCGATATTTGTCATTCAAATTTGAGTGTAGGACGTAAACTAAAGTGCAGACCGGATATCAAATTTCACCCAAAAAAACTAGGTAATTGGCTAAGTTAAGCGCTAAGTTAAATCTGAAATAATATTCAGATTAGTTAAGTTAAGCGTAGGCTCAAATGTAAGTTAGGCTAGAGCCTAACTCAGCTTAACAGTAAAATACCCTACCATAAAATTATTATACCTACTTTTATTACCTATTATAAAATTATTTAATGAAAGGGGTTTGCATTAGAATGCAAAACAAAAACAACAAAAAACCAGGTGAAAACAAAAATTCTAAAGGATAAATAGAAGATATATATTTGAATCCCTAAAATCATTTAACCTTACAAAAGCTTCAGTTTTTAATTTAGATTTACAGTACCTTGGTCTAAGTTTATAGCAGCTCTTAGCCTACCCACCTCTTTATTGGAAGGTAGGGTCTAGGCCTACTTAAATTGTAACAATTAACTTAAGTACTAAGTTACATATACAAAAGACTGGCATGTGTCATGTGTCATGTGCACCATCCTTTGAAAGATCTTAAGAATAAGAATAAGAAAGTTTATTGCCATTGACCAAGTTGTACATGGAATAAGCATTGTGAAATTACATAAAATAAAATATTCTTATATTACTAAACATGTTCATATCTATAGGTACCGTAACAAAGATTGGGAATAACGATTGAGAATTCTTAACTTATAGTATGAAAGATTCCGCTTTAATTTTATACTTCATGAAGTCCTTAACTGAGTAGAATGGGTTAGCTGCAAGCCAGTTATAAATTTTTGACTTAAAAAGAGGAAGAGAAAGGCTGTTAAATTTGTCAAGTTAAATTCTTTAATAGGCCTACCTACTACTCTTCTTTCAAAACTGCTGATCACATACCTCTCTAGGGCAATTCACTTAAGTTAAGTTACAGGTTAATTTAACAATTGATTCCAAAAGTAATCCTCTTTACAACATTATATTGACAATTAGGCCTAGGGTAGTACCTACAACTGCCAGCCCTAGTATGAAGCCTTTGGTCATAAACAAATCAACGTTTCGACAAAGCAAATAACTAACCACTAAGTATATCTATACGTATTGTGTATGAAATTGTCAGTAAAACCGACAAAAGCAGAGAAATGAGTGGAAACCGTTAATCGATTTTGGTTCAAACCACCGCAAGCCAAACATAACCTCTCAAGTTTCAACTAGAGCAGTTTTCAAACAACTTACCGTTACTCGCTTGATTATCCTGTTATGGTTGTTCACATCACCGGAGATTTTGTTGGTGTAAAATTATTTATCACTGAACACAACTAAAATTATCAATACACTAAACAGAATTGTAACATAACATACAACACACACGACACGCAAACTACAGCACCGGGAAGTAGCAGAAGCAAACTGAACTCGAACACTCGAACTGAATCTGAAACTGAAACATGAAAAGACAACAAACGGGGAGAAGCGGAGAAGAAGAAGTTGTGATAGGGATAGAGAGGAGAGAAGCCCCTCCACTCAAATCCCCCGACTTGTTGAATGAGATCACCAATGAGTCATCTGCAATCGGGACGGGAATCCTTTCTTTTGTCTTTTAAATGTCATAAAATGTGTTAGTTTGTAGATATTACATCAGTCCAAACTTGTGGTAGTCTAAACTTGTAAACATTGAAACAAAACTATAGTTTAGGCTTACATTATTTTCAATTCAATCATTCTGTTAGGTTAATCCATGTGGCAGTGGTAAAAAATTGTTTATACTGTACTATATTCAATAATAAATTTCATTAAAGTAGTAGTATCTTTATTTTAACATGGTTTCAGTGTCATTTCGTGTGTTTTACTGGGGCATGCAAGTGATGCCTTCAGAACAAAAGTTATTTGTAAAATAGTTAGTTGTTAGTTACCTAGTTACTAATAAATGATTATTGTACTGGTAGGGTACACTTTTTTTATTATTGTGAGACTCGAGTTTCATAACATATGTACACAAATCTCTGTTGAATGGGTTGAGAGGGTACAATCGTTTGCAGTTTGTAACTATTTTTAAACCAATGAGTAATTTGCACTAAGTCCCCAGAAATCTTATAAACCCAGAAATCAGCATGGTTTCAACGGAACAAGTAGTATTTCTCTAATCACAAATACTAATCATTGGATACTCTTTCTTCTGATCTTCAGATATACAGGGTGGTCCTAAATTATTGGACAAATTTTTAGATTAAATAACCAAACAATTTGAGACATGGGAATTGTTTAGTTAAAAACAAATGTAAAGCAGTTTCATACAGTAACTGCAAAAAAAATATTATAAAAATGTCAGTAATTATAATAATCTATACTTATTTAATACGAAATTACTCCTCCGAAACTACTGAACCGATTGACATGTTTTAGGTGTCATTGGAAAGAGCGTAACGTGAAGTTGTGCTTTAAACTTTCTTTTTAGGGAAATAATTAGAGAGTGAGGCCCTGGGGTCCTTTAAAGTTTAGAATTTCTCCATAAGATTAACATGGGAAACAAACATTGTTATGAAACTCCAGCTGTTGTCAGAAATGCTGTTCTATTTAATTTAATTTGAGAATTGTTTCTTGATGTATTCAATGAATTATTATTTTGCATTATATTTTAAATGCAATAAACTATATAAAGTGATAGTAATACATTAAGAGGTCTTCATTTAAATAATCAATAAGCACGATTGAGTCTTTGCCTATATGATTCCTGGTAAGTGTGTTGTAACTGTTTCTTATAGTATATTATAGTATATCTTATAGTAAAACCAAATTATTCTTTTCTGCATTCTCACCCCGTAGCGAAGCACGGGCAGAGCAACTAGTTGGTTATAAAAAGTCTGTAAAAATCACCTAAAATAGGTATGTTTCCTCCTCAATTACCTACTTATAGTAAGCTGGGAAACAATGGACCTTTCTACACCAGCTGAGAATTACATTTGACGAATAAAACATTAAACTAACCTCAGAATCAAAAATGACTAGTGTACATGTAATGAATAGTAATGAAAAACAAATTGTGTTCTTTAGTGCCATAAAAGGAGATCTGTAATAGGCCTTTAGAGTATGGCTTTAATTCTCCGAGTAACTATTCTATAAAATGGTGGTACAGGCAGTTTCAACGAACACGGTAAGTGTTAAGTATAGTATAAAATGCCCTCACCTCAAAAGAAAACACAACTTACCAATAACAGTTAGGTGATCTTTACAGACTTTTCAATTACTTTTTCTAATACTGAAGTTGTTTGTAGTTACTGGATAAAAATTCTTTAAATTTGCATACATAAAATAATTCCCATGTTTCTAAGTAGCTATCTTTGTCCTCTGAGTCACTGTGGGCTTTAATACACAAACAAATGAACAAATTTAATTTCCTACATTCAAATGAATGACTAACAATAACGATTTACTAAACATTCTTACACATTCTAGGTCAGTAGGTTCCACATTTCGTGCACCAAGTGGCCGTGAGTAATTGTATTTCTTTGTTTTAACTAAGCGAAGCATTCTTAATTTATTACTTAAGCTGAAAACACGCAATATAAATGTTGAAGAATATGTTTATTGAAATTAATTGAAGTGTTTAGTATTGCTAAAATGTGCACGAAAATCTTTCTTCCAGCATTCACATTTACTTGAAGATTATGACGTATGTACAGGTTTCGTTTAACCTTTGTCTTCCCAAAACCATATCAATTCCATGGGGTTGTGTGTTTCTCCGATTTGAGGTCTTTATAAATACTACTGTATTACTTTACCGGGAGAAAGTTCAGCCTACAAAAACTTTCCAACTGGGCGTGATCCAAAGGACACAGGCAGGTGCTTTGGGCTACTGACCCCAAATTACTGAGCTTTGCTAAAAATCATCTTTTGTTGGTATGATAAAAATAATTAGTCACTTCCACTTTTAAAATATATTATCTTTGTATTCAAATTTCAGTTGAAAATAGCGTCTTCCACTGGATATATGGTGATATAATAATACATTGTATTTTCATCATAAGCAAAAATATGTTGCCGATTTTTATAACCACCTATAACTAAAGATTTTTTTTACTCGGGGACTGGCTTCGAGAATCTTTTGTACTTTTATTTTATGAAATTTTGGGTGACTAACATCATCTAAAGGAGGAACTGACTCTGAGGTAAATAGCTAAAAAGTACTTTTCAGCTCAGGCCCAGGTGGTTTTGACGTAGGTGGGACAGCGAGGTGGGATACAGAATTCTGACGCTCCCAAACAACATTCCATGTGACTCATCCAGCAGAATCACTAAGTGTGGTTTGTTTTGTTTTGTTTTGTGACGTTAACACTATTCAATATAACTTTTTGGTGGCAAAAAAGCACATTTATCAATTTCAATTCAAATTAAATTTAAAGATCCTCTAATTCATCCACACTAAACCACCCACATAGTTTGTTCACAGACTAACCAACACATGTTTTATATATTGTCGTTCTATCAAATTATAACACACATATTAAAATCATGACTTGCAACACAAATGAATTGTTTGAAGTAATACACTTAGTTTTAAATAAATATTGAACTTTCACAAATTAACTTGTAAAATATTCCGTATTAAGACTAGGTCACTTTTGCTGTGTTGTCTTGAAATTTTTGAGGTATATGACTCTATATGAAGTGGCCAGCATCGGTGTTTTATATATTTCCTTTAATCAAATCCAAAAAGCTCGTGGCTAAAGTGTTAGTTACTCACAGAACACCATATTTTGCTTTTTGTTAGTAATTAGTAAAAGATCTACAACATAATGTCGGCTAACATGAAAGACACAGCACAACACAACCAAAACAAACTATAAGGTGGTGACATTTACCAGTGGTTTTGCTTAGTAAGATTATTTTATTTAATTTGTACGAGAGTACGCCCCGTGGTCGAAAAATCGACCAAAAGTATGTTTTGTGCAAACTTCTCTATTTTCACCCCAGACTGTAAATAAAACATGTGATTGAAATGTCTTCCATTTGTTTTGATTTTCTGTTTATATTTTGTTGTTATTTTGTCATCACCATAGCAACCCATATGACCCATGTTAATTTTTTAAAATTTCAAATTCATTTTTTGTGCTTATTTTTGAGCCTATTTTAATTTATAAAGGGATTCTGCACACCTGCAGGAAAATAGCTTTCTAACGGTATGCGTAGATTTTCCCTACGATACACATGAGCTGAGAAAAAAGGTTTTAAAGAAACATGCTTGCCTATTAATATATAGATAGATAGATAGATAGATTTAGTTTGTTTACACAATCACCACTACATCAGCGCTCATCATTGTAGTAGCAATTGCTACAACTAAGTTACATATCTACGGTTCGGCTCTTCGCCGCATGCAGCGCTAGCTACTGCAGTAGCTATTGTTGAAACTATGCATACGTTGTTCGGCTCTTCGCCACCATTAGCGCTAGCTACTGAGGTAAGGTCGGAAATGCAGAACATTGTTTCTTATGACACTAACAGATCGCATTGACAGTATTTTTTCAATTATTCCCAAGACTTTATTATTCCCTATCAATTCCATGTCATTTAAAATATTCCCTATATGGGAAAATCTCTAAAAGGCATATGGACGACCAATATATTTGAATATTGACCTTATTCACCAGGCACTTAACCTATGTATTACTTAAATTATTGACGTGATTGTCAATGTTAATAAATTAAAGGCTTTTTCAAGTATCTTATTGGTTCTTTTCGAAATTGGTAGGAAAACAGCTGAGTACCTTGTGCTATGCTATTTGCTAAATCCTACTATCTGTAGAACATTGGTAATTTATACTTGATATTGATAAAAACTAGTACTAAGGTAAAGTCCAGTTTTTATTTTCATTCGAAACTATAATACGAAAATAAACTAAGGCTGTTTAGTCAGCAATAAAAAATTATGTCTAGTAGAATTAACTAGTGTCGGGAATGCAGTTCGCCGTGTCTTATTTTTATGACGGGGTGTGCAACTAAGTACTGTCTGGTACGTTTAATCTATGGTACTGTATCACGATTTTCGATTACATTATTAGGCGAGGCTAAAGGATTGAATTTTTAATATATTAAGTAACTACTAGAAAGAGAATATTACTTCGTGTCGTGTAGTAGGGTTTTAACTTTTTTGGTGAGTTAGTGATAGATTTTAATTATTTTTCTGTTGTATCACCATTACCCAGTTTGTAGAGTTATTAATTAAATAGGAATAAACAATGTGAGTTGTAACGATTACATTATGATTTGACAGACTCATAACTAGCATTATTAATCAGGATGCTTACTTTGATGGTATTGGGAAATTTGATAAATATCCCTAAATATAAGTCTGTGAGACATCGCTACAAAAAGATGCTCTTAAGTCTATCATTGCATGACAAATTCTTATGAGACAAAAGAATCTTATACAGACAAGGGAATCTAACAGATAAGAAACTTGTCAAGAAAAGTCATTAACTGATAAACCCAAAATAAACACAATGTCCGTTTTGTATTGACGTGACAAATCTTTTTTACTGGAGCCAGTTGAACTACAAATCTTACTGTAAAATGTAATACTTTACAAAACGTATACAACCTCACTTTAAAACCATACATAACCCTCCTAAATCTACATAAAGCGTCACAAACATCTTTTTCGAGTAAATAAACAAACACCAGTTCATTGTACTGACCAGCTGTTTCATTAACTAAATTAAATTAAATCATTTAAACATTGGAAGCATGACAGGCGTAGCCCTTTGGAAGGTGTCCTCCTGATTGCGAACAGTCCTGATTGCGAACAGTCCAGACTGCGAACATGTTTGGGTCTACGAGGTGGAGGGGGTCGTCCGTGGGGTGGGGAGGATTCCTGATTGCGAACACATTTTGAGTGGTCGGGGTTTTCAACGCTTTCATATAAACCCTTAACAGAAAGATTTAGCCCAAATCACAACTTATAACTGGTAATATACATAATGGAGAGGATGAATGTTCTTGAAGACACATATCTTTATGAGACGTAGTAATTTTGCGTAAAGCCGCTTGTATATTAACAGACAGATTTTTTCAGACTCACAAACCCTTTCTGATAATATTTAAAGTGGCTGTTTATTTAAAATTAATTATAATATGTTTGACTTGAACAAGCACCTACAATAACTATACAATCTCTGAGTAAAATAAATAAAACAATAATTTCATATGAATACTATAGTTTAACATAATTAGCCGAAATTACATACATTTGACAATATCACATTCCCAACTCAATCATTACCTAAAAACATAAAAAAGCAATTAAAACTCACGTACAACAACAGCGGCTAAACAACTTTACAGATTCCAAAATATTTGTTCGCAGTCTGGACGACTCATGTTCAGGTAGTCCACAGCATTTTTGAGTTGTTCGCAGTCTGGACGATTTTACCCTTGTTCGCAATCTGGACTGTTCGCAATTAGGACACAACCCTTTGGAAATCAGCCTGTGGGGCAGACCCCTTCGTAAATTCGTCAATATCAATACTTTTTGGCAAATCTACACACTTCATTTTGATGTGCCATATGCCTATATTTTTATTTTGTAAATGACCTTAACCATTTACATAAAATTTGATTGTATCGCTTTAATATTATAATAGATATCTCAAACAATTGAATGTTGAAACCACGTTTATTAACATATGTAAAGCTCAGTTCATAAACAGATGGTTAAACATCAGCTGTTTTTGGCACCTTATTTTTCCATTAGGTATAGTATTGAAGTAAAGGAATATTTAATTATTGGTTGGGAATGAAAATAAATCTTAAGTTATCGTGGTCTTTATATAGTTACAGTATGTAGCAAACCCCCTTTTAAAAACTAAAGAAATATCAATCAAGCTAAAACAAGTACAGTAAGTAGTACTGTATATGCTATTTGTGGTAGAAACTTAATTCAAACGATTTATACTATTGCCGAATTAGGCATACATTGGCTTATTTTCTTAAAATGAATACTTATGAATAGAACAAAATATGCATTAATAACCTGGCAATTTTAATTCAATTACAAAATAAATCTGTTTTCACCCATAATTATTATGGATGTGTAATAGAAATTCTTGACAATGAACAAGAGATATTGATTCTTTAAGGATATTGACAAAGAACATTAGACCTACTTGGCAGACCGTTAATGTTATTGTTAAATGTCTTACATTTTGAAAAACCATTTTTACTAACCAGTATAATTTTCAGCGATTACCAACTCAAACCCGCGATTTCCGATTTCTTTCCGCAACTCGCCAAATGAATGTGAAACACCCAGTATCTTCCGAGTATTTTTGATGTTTCTATCTTGGTAGAATTAGTCAACAGTAGTCTTGGCAATGACTCGGTCGTAATTTTAACATTTCAAACACGTCGAGATGGTTTTATTTTAGCGTCGAGTAATGGTGAATCCATAGAGTATTCACAAGATAGTTTGTCAATTTCCTAACAAAAATTACATCTTAATATGTATAAAGGATGTTTTAAAACGCATTCCAAATTACAGTACAAGTATTGTGTGACACTATTTAACGACAAACCTAGCTTATGTTGGTAGTCCTGTTTTATTACCTCATTGTCGATCAGCTGATATGCCTTTCATAGATATCTATGAGGTTTAGTGTAACTGGGAATTTATTGTAAATAAGAATAAGACTCAACATGGTGTTTTCGCATGCCCAAATAGAGTATGGATTGTAGGTATACGTTTTCTTAAAAGTTGCCTATTTAAAATACATCCATATTTAAATCCCAAAGTAGCCATGAACTTTTGAGAAAATTAAAAGTCACACCCCCAACCATGTACTTAAAATGTTCGTCATTACGAAAAACCTTGCACAAAACTATCCATTATTTCATAAATTGCCATATAAGGTCGTAATTCCTTTCTAAAGGGAACTTTCCATGTACCTAATGTTAAAAATACCTCAGCTGTACTTATTTGTTTGTTATTCTTTCAATTTATTACCTTATTAAAATCAGGTGTGATTATTTGTTTGTATTACTGTATTCTGTTTTGTTTATTTCAGCTTAACCAATCAGTTATTTTATTACAGGGTAACTATAATTTGTGTATTCATTGGTAACAGCTAGTTTTCATAAACTGTTTTTCTTGTTTATGACGTTCGCTTGAAGTAACAGCTGTTTAATTCAATTCACGTTTCAACTGTTACAGAGAAAGTTGGTCAGTGTTGTATAATTGAAAATGGAATCTAGAAATAAATTAAACGTGAGAGAGCGAAGACCTGAAGGAAATGAACATTTTACCATTCGTAGGTGTGATAGATCCTATGCTTTAAAATTATACCTTAATCGTAAAAATCTGTTAAGTATGACGGCTGGAAAGGGAATGTAACAGAGCAAAGTCTTATTTCATTAAGTATATAGACAATTGCTAAGATGAATAAATATCAAACATGACTAGATTGCTAACATACTGGAAGTTCCAAGAACCCTCTATTTTCTTAAGGGTAATGAAGTATTCGACTACATAAAATATTAATTTATTACAAATAAATAACCTAAACCTAGGTACAGTCGGTTGCATACAAAGTAGGAAGGCAGGCGGCATTGGAGGTCTACTTTACACCTAAACAGACAGTAAAGAAGGGTATTACCAAAAATGCATTGTAAGTACACCAATGAAGACAGTTATTAACATGTGACTAAGCTACATGAAGGTTGTAATTGTTTTGTAATCTGATTTTGTAATGAATTTATTATGATAAACATCGAAGGAAATTCCGTAAAAAAGTCATGATTTCATAAAATATTCATACATTTTAAAACTTACACGGAAGATTCTTTTTTCTAGAAGAATGAAATTGTGATTAATTTGTTTTTAAGGTAGTTAGTTTGTGAATCCAGTTCTTAAAAAGAGTGGATTTAAAGATAAGAAACTACCTTTTTGTCCAAATTGAGAATTCAATATACTGTACACTTGTGCAGTATATCTATTTTAAATTAAATCAATTAAATTAGCTTTTGATAGAAGAAAAAGAAGTGCTGTATTTTTTAGTTTCGAGAGTGCAATCAAATCTATTGCTTTTGGAATTGCAAAGTACAGTAATCTCTTAAATGTAACGATACATAAGATAATATTTCATAATACGAGTAAACTCCTATAATAACTCCGAGAAATATTATTTTACATTTTCTAAACTACAGAACATACGGCTAAATAGCTCAATAGCAACTAAAAGGCAAGGCAAATGAAGTGTATATACAAATCATAAAAGCTCTGTGTATACTTATTATCTACAAGTATATTTACAACATATTGTTCTGTAAAATAATACATATACATTATTTTAAAATTTTTCGTATAACGATGAGATACTGACAGCTTAAAAGCTCATAACGCTTGAAACCATGTTATTTATATAATTAATGGCTCAAAATATATTTCACCTACGACCATTTCTTAAAGTAGCAATTTCAGTTCAGTTCTTAGAATTGAAAAAGTTTCTCATGACAGCATTGTTTACTTTCATAACAGCATAGTTTAACTCATAACAACACGGGTAACGGACCAATGAGGTTTAAGGATTGAGAGAGAAGAAGTAGAACTTTAATGATTCGTACTTCTAATCAGCTGTTCAGGCCAATTGAATTGATGAGTGGTGCCAAATCACTGACAGTGGCAATGAGAGGTTATAAAAGAAAACATAACCTCTCTTAGAAGTTATGAGTAGTGATTGTTAGTAATTAAAACACTGTCGTAGGTAAAGTAGTTCACGCAACTCGCGTAAATAGTGTTAACGACGCGATTAGAAAATCTGAGGTACGAGCCTTAAGCATAAAAACTAATTAAATTAGTTTTATATTATGTTTAAATATAATGAAGACGTTTCAGCTTAAAGAGACGAAAATTGTTCATTACACATTCAAATGTTTATTTGTAAAACGTATTAACTGAGCAAGACGAAACAATTAAACTAAAAATCTGGTTGCAAACACCCAGAGATTATCTATTATAATGTTAATCTCAGACCTTCATCCATTAAGGTTTTGTACCTAACAATCCCAGATTTCCTTTTCAATTAACGTAATTTTAGCTAAATGCCAAATAATCTTAAATTAAACGGCGATGTCTACAAAAACAAAGGCATTATAAAAATAATTCCGTACTTAACCATACTTCTATCACAGAATAGCAAATAGCTACTATAAAATTTTTCATTCTGTAGTTTTACCTTACCTCTACCACATTACAATCAGAGAGACCCTATAAAGTTACAACTTCTTATTCCGTACATTATCTTACTCCAGCGACACAACAAAAATAATGATCCAAAAAATTCATTGTTTTGTGCTTTTAAGAATAATTATAGACCCTATAAAAATGCGTTTACCTTTTCCATCACCTAATGGTTTACTAGAAAAGCGAATTGATTTGAAAAAAGGTTCAAATCAATTAAATCCTTTCCTCGTTTTATATCCTGATTACATCTCATTTATTGTTAATTTCTAAGATTGAACCATAAACTCACCTGACAAGTTGGCGTAAGAAGCGATTTTATGCTCGTTCATGCACACAAGCCGTCCAGTCGACGGTAACACATCCCTTTAGACATGTCTTACCTTAAACCAACACCACAGAATGGGTAAAAACAACCCTTATATACAGCAGAAAAAAGGGTGGAGTTTGGAACGCCGAAAAAATTAAATGCTAGGCTCTTGGTATAGCAGTTGTGTCATCATTGGGGATGGCTCTTGACAATTTGGAATTGTTTGGAAACGGGTGGGCATTAGATACACCAACTGACCTTAGTCAGGTCGGGTATTCCAGAATTGCGCCAACTACTCCAGGGAGCCACTCGACAGTGTTCATTAACTGCGGCCAAGTGGTGGCCCTCTTTGACTGTATAATTGAGTATCTTAGGGTAGGTTAGGTTAGGATGACACTTAAACAAGGACATTTCTTCTGCCGGCAACTCACACCTACCTGGCTTGGGCTTGGCGCAACTAAGGAACATATTTTGGGACCTTTTGAGGGCGTGGCGCACTTAAGGAACTCTTTGGCGCAATCGCACTACCATTATGCATCTTAGAAGAGCTTGAAGGGTTGTCATGATAACAACCCATTAGGTTGTTGAATAACTGTGAGGTTACTCAAGGGAAGTATGAAGGTCGTAATTTAATTACTCGTTAATTGATTAAAATGTGGGCCATGTACTCTTGCTGCACGCAAAGATGAAAACATGACTCTTTAGTGGTATTTCCTTTCAATTTTTCCTTTGAAATATTTGCTAACATTTTGAATCGTGGAATTTTAAGTATCTACTACTGTACCAGTTTGAACCATTTTTGTATAAAACACTTTCATGGTAAAAATTTAGCAATTAAACTTATGCACAACTTATAATAATAAGGCTTGTTAAAAATAGCAAGACGTGAATGCAGAACGAAGCTTTTAGCATTAGCAAACTGAACAAACAGAATCGACACACACATTTAAACAAACTCAGCACGGGCAATAAAGGTCAGGCCTGCAAGCAATAAAACAATAAGACAATAAAATATTATATTTACACAAATACACTCTGCATAAAACAAATGATACATGTTTGTACAATAAGCATGAAAGCACATAATCTAAAATGTTTAAAATATGATGAAATGTGGTTTTTTACAATTTGTACACACGGGTTGATATTTTCATAAACTATAAAATACGATACAAGGAATCATAAACTATATGATAAGAATTAGATTCCTATTTCTAAATCTTTTTCTAATAAATCTATTTGTACTGGAATGTCTTAGTGGATTTCAGTACTTTTCAGTACTATTCTAAACCCATAGCTTTTACGTTATAAAATAACACAAATTTTAAAAGAGGAGAATGTTTTTCATTACCTACTTCAACAATTAAAATCATAAAGTTTATCAGTTAAAGTTAAAACTATAATAAAACCTACGTTAAAACAAAAAGCATCAAACATTTTACATGACTAGGACAAGACGACAAAAATCACAAACACACCATTTAACCAGATTATTTACAATTCAACAATGTTATGTTAATTTACATTGGTTGGAACAATGATTGTTCAAATATTGATCTTTCACCTCCAGCTGGAGTTGAAATAATGAATTGATTTGTTTAGTATTTGCAAGTTGCATTGTTGTAGAGTTTAGTCGCATCCGAGAGATTCAGTCGCGATTAGATGCGAGTCTATTTTGGGAGAATTACGAGGTCCAAACACGAAATGTTCCGAGTTCATCGTTCCCTCTTTGTCACGAGAGATGTGTTCTGAATCTGTTTTAATATCGAGATGAATCGATGATGAACATGGTGTAGATTTTAAGGAACTCATTTTACAACCGAGTACATCTTTGTAATTGAATATTATTGTTAAAGTAATGAGTGAAGCTAATGCAAAAGGATCAGTGAACACTTGAAAAACATGCAGTGAAAAAACAGTGCGAATTGCTATTAGTTAATCAAACTTAGAATGTAAGTTGAACTCAATTTTAATCTCCCTGAAGACGTTTGTAATTAGTTCTAGTATAAAGATTTTGTACAGTGTTCTAAGCTACAACTGAAACGTGTACGTTATCTTTGAGCATACATCTTTGACATGCACATGACGCACATGACTAAGATGACGATTTTAGGTATGAAAAGGTCCTATGTTACGTTTTTACTTTGATTTTTATAAAGTATTTGGATTATTAGTAGTCCAAAAGTGACCACAGAAACTACCAGGATGTTTTACAAGTAACTAAAATATATACCTATCTTTGTGAGCTGAACATTGTCTGTATGTCTGAAATACAATGCAATTGATTTTTTCCAAGTTCTTTCAAAGTGTACAATAAATTCTAAGAATGTACATGATTTATAAGCTTTTGTGTACGTTACACGACAAGGAAAAGGAATAAGCAGGCAATCGCCAGAACTATACTAAAAATCGTCACAAAATCTAGCTCTAGTCCTGCGAGCAGGTTGGCACATGCCATGCAAACCAACAGTAGAGTGCCAGGGTCAGTCATTGTCTTAGTACCTTCATCGGTCATCCTAGGACAGTCTATGCAGTCCCGGGGACGAGCAGTCACTAGTCTGGACTCTCTGGAGGTTCCTGGAGAGCTGGACTCGGTAGAATCGGCTTCAATAGGGTGAGAAGAAACTTCACTTTTGGATGATTTATCAATTACTTCATCTTGAGGCAGTTCAAGAGGGAATCTCTTTGGAAGGGGGGATGACTCTGGAGATAACTTATCACTGTGTTTAGAAGATTCTTCGTTAAGCGTGCTTAGAACTTCATCTACTTCAAGAGGAGTAGGATCTTGTTCGTGGAGATTTAGATGGGAATCGTCTTTGAAACTGTTGACCAAAAGGTCATCTTCAGTGAGTGACTTTTCAACGGATGGATTGCACTCTGTTTCCATTGTTGAAACTTTAAGAAACTCATTATTGTTATCACAGCTGACTATTATATTAAGAGGTATATCAGTTTTGTTCGGGATCAACTCTTGGTTTTCTGATTGATCTAGATCTAGACTGTCAGACGTTGTCGCTGCCAATGACTGAATTGTCTTTTGTTCAGTTTGGACCTTTTGGTTTTCAATAGCCTCAGCAACGAAAGTTTGTAAAAACTTTTCTGGAGAAGAAAAACGCTCGTCTGAAACAATTTCATCAGTTGAAAAGTACGTGTCTTCGCATTCTGTTACGTCTGCATTACAATTGTCTTTTCCATCAGTGAAGTTTACTTCGCATTTCGTTTCGATTTTCTGCAGACCCCCCTCTTTGTCGTTGGATTTATCTGCACTTGTGGGAAGTTTATCAGTTGATGAGTTGCCGAAATCTTCGTCTAAGCTTCTTGTGAGCTCCTTTAACAAATCAGTCATACTTTTACTCCCCACTATGTCAATGGGATTTTCTGTAACTTGTGTCTGTTTGCTCTCTAATTTGTTGTCTTCAGTAATTACGAATGTATTTAGTTTTACTGGTTTATGGGGTGTTATCTTTCCTATCATTTGAGATTTAGTGTGAGTTTGTTTTACTGGGCTGTCAGGAGATTGAGATGGATGTGTACTAAGAGGTGTGAATTTACTTTCGGGTTTACTGTTTTCTATTTCAAGGGAATCAGGAACCTGGACTTTATTTTTCAGGGGTTTAATGTCAAAGTTAAGTTCGTTTAACTCTTTACTTAGCTGCTCACTGGCTTCTTTCGCTTCTCGAGCTAAAATAGCAAGCAAATCCGATTCGTTTTTGTTATAGGATGGAGGGGTATGTTCTCTAAATCTACTTATATGGTAGGTAGCTTTATTATTATCAGGAGTAGAGCTTCGTTTGAAATCATTGTTGGGGTGGCTGGCGAAGAAAGCATTTCTTAAAGAATCGTTCTTGGCAGAAGTATATTTAGAGGGGGGTATCGACTTCGGTTGATGAATATTTACGTTGTCTGTGGTATGTCTTCTTTCAGGAGTCAAGGAAAGCCTTGGACTTGGGCTCTTTGACAATTTTGAGTTACTTGGTCTTGAATCTGAAGTCAATAAACTAGTTTTACTCCCGGTCAAAGTTTCAGTACTGGTGGCAGTCAATGGCGATGATGTCCCCAAAGAAAACACTCTAGAATTACGAGGAGTAACATCAGAGTCCTCGCCACTTAGGTTCTTACTGTAGACCAGAGTTTTTATTTTGTTATGTTGATCATTGGCTTGCCCATTTAAACACGGACCATTCGTGCTTAACGCGTCCTTCACGTCTGAAAAACTCTGAGACTTTTCTAACTTCCCTAGTACATCATTGTTGTTGTATATTAACTTATTGTTGTTATTTTTCATTGCTAAAGATTCTCGTTGAATAATGCTGAGCAAATTTGCCGAAAGGGATCTGACAGCCCTCTTCTTTTTTGTGGTAGGTGAGTCAGGAAATGAGTTTTCTTCAAATGTGAACCTAGGTTCTTTGTTGCTATCCTTTCGGAGATTCCTAAAAGCTAAATCATCAGTGACTACATCGGGAATTTTCTTTGGTTTAAATGAAGGCCTGAATGTCTCTTTGGGGGAGACATGAAGATAGTCACTGTTAGGAGCGGGTGTGATCGGTCCAAGAGGTATTCCAAAAGGAGGTTGGGGATCTAGACATTTTAATGAGTTGTTTACGTGTTTGAAGTTCCGATATACCACATCATCCTTTTCTATATCTGGTTCTTTATTGATGAGATGAACCGGCGGAGGATCTACAAACGGTGGAGGACTTAATGTTGGTGAAACCAAGAGGAAACTTCCAGCTTGCGAAATAACCTCTTGCTCTTGAGGAGGCGGGCGATCCTTTCTATTATACTTTCTATAAGCCATGTCATCGGTAACTTTATCAGGTTCTCCACCACGTCTAGAGTTTGAAGAACTTTTAAAAGGAGAATCAACACTGTCAACTGAATCAAGGGATGACCTGCTGTAGTTCAGGCTTGAATCCGATTCAAATCCTCTAGATTGTACCCATGCGTTCCAGTTTGAAGGGTCAAGCCTATTATTTTCGTACACAGCTTGATCCTTGGCAATCTTTTCTAAGTTAGCGTCCTCTCCTAATCTCAGGCTTTTATATATTGCCTCGAGCTCATTAAGGGCTTCTTCTAGATTATTTGATTTCCTCCTACTTTTATCATTTTCATTGAAAATGTCGAAATGTTCAAAGTTTGTTACTGCATTAACTTTTGAATCTTTTCTTAATGGTGGAGTTGGGGGGTTGTACATTTTCTCTCTTGTTGGAGTAAGTTCTTTTTCAGAAATTTCTTGTTTTTCTTCAAGCATAGAGAGTGGACGCTTAGTGTTGCTATGTACATCTACGTTACTAAAAACCGGGATACCAATCTCATTGTGGACTGGTGGGTATTTTCCAGTGAGTATTCTTGGGCTATGATTATCACGGGGGCTTGAGCTACTTAGCGAGTGTGAAGACTCTGTTTCTTTGCCAGATATAATCAGAGGAGGCAATTTCAGTTTTGCAGCCGCAAAACCCGAATGTCTATCTGTTAATGGGCTGCTGGATCTTGACCTGTCTTGAGCCTGTGGTAAGTTTAGAAGGTGTCTTTGTATCAATTTCGGTGATCCTTCTGAAATGTGAATTTTCTTGGTATTTTCTTGATCTTTTTGTTTCCAAAAGTCCGCGGCATTTTGCACTCCAGATGGCCGAGTCCGTGGAGTCTGCTGAACAGGAGGTTTTACGATTACTTGAGAGTCACTGAGATATGGATCATTTTGAGGTTTCTGATTTTGATAACTGATATGAATAGGTTTTCTGCTTCTCGGATGTTGATCGGTGTAGTACTGATAGTGACATGGAACCGAAGATGGTAAATAATCGTTAGCTGAAGGTGGACTAGAATGACTTGAGTCAAAAGAGTCATGGCGATGTCTCTGTCCAAGTTCTGGATTCAGTATCCTCCTTGGCATCGGTGGAGATTGTTTCACGCCTATTCTTGATGGAATATGGTTATCCGAACTGGACCTTTGATGTCTGTTCATGGACACAGCCGGTTCAAAGTCAATGGACACAGGATGTGATTGCATGACTCGTTGAAAAGCTGATGAACTTGATCCGAATTCCGGATACTTAGGATATTTTTGTTGCACTGGGCTCTTATCTTCAAAAGCGTACGACATAGGTCTTGGACTGCTTTCGTGATAACCATTACTAGGAAATAGCTTTCTCTGAGGATCTCTTGGTGGGGGAGGAGGGGGATTTTGCTGTCTTCCGTGTTGTAGGGAATGTAATCCCATTTTAACTTTATTATCTACTTTTTGGACCGGCTTTGATAAAGGAAACTGAACGACTAGCACATTTTCATCTGTCGGATGAGGTTGAACTATTTGGTTGTTGATGTGGTGTATGCTATTGACATTGCAGTCGTAAGAGGCACTTTTTCTATTTAGCGCTTCTTGATTCCATGAACGATTCTGTATCGGACGTGGGGTTGAAGATTGAGCTGGCTTTGTTATCATATCGCTGTTGCTCTTGGGAAGCCTGGGAGGAGTGATGTCAGGATACCTCTGATGAGGCGGAACTCTTTCTAGTGGATAATGTTGAGTTCTCAGCTCCTGGTGGGATCCCGCGACGCCCTCTCGCGCATGACTAGGTGGGTAAGTGACGTAGTTGGAAGTAGGAGGAGCCGATGCTGTGTAATGCAACGCGTTTTTGGGTCGAGCTTTAGGACTTTGGATCGGACTGGGTGTCGCGGACTTGGTCACCGCTGTGTACTTTGTTTCATAGTCACTCGACTCGTAGTACACGACCTTTGCAGTCCATCTGTTATTTCCCGGAGGTTTCTCAACCTTTTTATTGGAAAGCCTCTCGTCCGACCTTGATATTCTAGAAGGCACCCTGAAGTCCCTTAGTGACTCTTCGTCTTTCGATAACCGTTTCTTATACCTTTCAGTCCTAGCAGCTCTCGACCGTCTACTTAATGACCCGTCTTTTGATATTGTTTCATCACTTTTAAGTCTTTGGATTGATGAAGAAGAATGTTTTGAAGAACCTCCACCATCGTCTGAACTAGAATCTCCCCTGAGACGTTCCCTACTCTCTTCTACTCTCGCTTTGACCTGGAGTCTCCCACCCCTCTTCCCCGTTCCCTCGAGAGACACAGAGCTTCCTCTGATATTAGGTTCTCTCCTCGCCAAAGACTCGTGACTTCTCAAGACTTTTTCACTCGGCACTCTTTCTTCTCTCGGCTCAATAGTATCAAATAATTGACTGTGCCGATGGTTTATTATTACAGCTTCAAACGACCCTGTCACATCTTTGCTGCCTCTGTTCCTCCTCTTTCTCGCTCTTCTCCTCTCTAAGAACCCTTTCTTCTCCTCTTCGTCTTCCACAGGTGAACTACTATCGGTATCACTCACTTTCTTCTTCCGTCGGAAGAGTCCTCCTATTGACCATTTCTTCTTCTTCCTCTTGTCCTGGTCCGGACTGTTAGCGGGTTTCAGGGACGGAGGAGGAAAGTCGGAACAGATGACGTCATATTCGTCACATGATCTCCGCCGATCCTGCGGCATGGCTGGCGGCCTGCACTTCACCGTCTGAAACAAAACATCTACATTAGTTATTTTATATTGATGATTAAGTAGGCTACATTGACACAAAGCTGCATATGTTGGTAGTGTGTGGTAAAACGTAGCTGCATGTCCAGTTCATATCCATACAACTCCATACGTTACTTTGGTATTGTACCGACTACACCGATAAATCGACTTCCAAATAAGATTTTAAGTACCGGTAGTTTAAATAACAAATATTCCTAACCTAAAACATAGCCCACCCTTAGGTTAGGTTATAATGATTAGGTGTGGTCGGTATAATACCAAAGTATACCTACCCACCATATAACTGCCATGTATCCATCCCTGTATTTCATACAATCTACAAAGAAGTACAAGAGTCTCTCGATTGGCATATATATTTCAAAATTGATCGGTAAGGTTGAACATTTGAAGGTGAACCATTTTCAAAATCAATTCCTCCTAATTCCTGAACAGAAATGTTTAAAGGGGTAGCTTTGAGAAATGTATTACAGAGTTTATCGCTTACTCATAAATCTCGAACATTATATTATGCATATAGTCCTACACGTACACGTTCATATTGAGTTTAATAGTAAACACATCATACTTGGTGGCATTGTAAATACAGCTCGTTTATTTCTTACTGGGGCTTGCTAACAAGACCACTCTATACATCCACATGGGAAGAATCGAATATCACATGTGGAATCGGTGCGTTAAAGTGCGTTTCAGGTCTTACAAAACACGAGAGATAATAAAGTCAATAACTTAAACTAATCTTATCATCGTTGGTCTACTGTACGTTTCGATTTTTGTTTGCGCCGAAGCTATAGTCTAGAGAGCGAGTGAGGTGACGGTTTCGAAATGACTAGAGGTGATAATTCGAAAAAGTATAAAACTTACTCTAACAATCGTACAAAATTGTATATGTTTTAATTTGTTTGCGTTTCAATACAACAATTATACAAATTTTCTCCAGAATTTAGGTTCACATTAATTGATCCTATACATTTGTTCTGACTCTATTAGTGAAAGGAACCATTGATCGCATTAAAGAGAATTTACCACGGTAAATACGAAAAACGAAAACTTGTTTTTTTGTAGAAACGTTCACCTTAATACTAACATTCTATAGTCTGTATGACGGAACCTGTATCCTGATCATTGGCCAGTCCACAGGTAGACGGGCCAGGAGACAGGTTCCATCATACAAACTATATCCACCCGACGCCGGTTTCGCCATTTACAGGTAACAGCCTATTGTAGTCTTGGCCCACAAGTTCTATTTAGAGAACCGAACATATGTAGTCCAATTACTAATCGAGTTACGATCTTCTAACTTTCAACATGATTTCTTCGATAATACAATAATAAACACTATTCCTACTAATTTTCATAAACTTCATACTTTCATAATCAGTTCCCCTTATTACATTTCTCACGCATTTATTATTGTTATATTAAGGAATACATTTCAAACAAAACAAAAATATACGTTATCCGAATAATCTTTATTACGAATACTAGAAAAATACTTCTTTTCTAGTATTCGTGATCTTTAGTACAAAAAACTACTTAACGAGGGATCCCTATTATGGATCTTACTTCCAAATATTGTTTGAATAGCCTACAATAAGCCTGCCAGTAGTATTTAGGCTTTTAAGACTGGCCCTATGTCAGCACAACTCCACTTAAACTTTTATTTTTACCGTAATCAATTAAGTAAATACCGACTGATTTGATCTACTTTCTATGCCAATAAATGTAAGATATTAAGGATATAACTTGTCTTGGCAGTGAAGAACGATTTTTCAGACTTTAAGATTGAGTAAACTTAACCTGTCAATTATACTGATTGGCAAGGTGCAGATATTCTGTTTATTTTCCAAACATGTACAGTGACAGCAGGAGCAGACGACAGATGCCAACAGCTGACTATTTATAATAGCCACCACTGCTGCCACCTGTCGGTCAACACAAGTACAAGGTCGTCTGCTAGGACAAACCACAAACTTACATTGAGTTGAGAGCAAACTTCTGTAGTGTCAAGAGTTTAGAGATATTTTGACATCGACACGCCAGGATTATATGTCGAATATGAGTGAACGATGTTGAATGGATGAGATAACAGCTGTTACCGACTAAGATCAGCTGGTTTACCAGAATCATTTATTACAATTACAATACAACTAGTGGCTTGTAGGGGCAGTAGCCCCTATGTATATATTGTAGTAATTATTTTGTACAAATTATTAGTCCCATGGGTTACCCTACCTTGATTATCGTTTAACATTATTGTATATTATAATATGTATAATAGTTATTACATACCTGCATAATGCATTTTGAGGTCTGCTCTGTTAAAAATAAAAATTACAAAGGATTTTTCATGCGGTGTGTTTATAGTATAAACTTTCTAATCATAATACAACTAAGGATATTTTTCAATGATAATCTTCATGACTATTAATTAAATGTATATACATTTCTTTGAATATAGACAAATTCACTTAGATAAAATACATGGAGATAAATTTTTCAAATAAATGCCAATTTTTGTGAAAATTTTCCTTGTAAACTTAAACGGCATATAGGATCTGTGGATATTAGTATTATTTTTGGCATGGAAAATACGTTTCCTTTGCCTACTCCAGTAATTACTACTAACTTTACACTTTTTCCAGTAATACCTAACACAACCAATCGTACTCCATTAACTAATCCAGACCCTAGCTTCATATTTCTAATGAGCATCACTATTGAACCAACTTTTAAAACTAATTTGTGTGGTGGCATTCCAGATCGTGCAATTAAATTAATATAGTCAATTGGTAGGTTCAACCTCTCTTAAGGGTTAGTATACATTTTACAGTGCATATTACATATTACCATATGCTTTAAATAAAGTTAAACCACATGTTTTAATGTAAACAAAGCAAACATGACCTAGATTCCCATGTTATTTAAATGTGAATTATTTTATTCTGTCACAACCTTTTGGTGCATAATTAAGAAAAATGAATAATTTTCCCCAAAATTTCATGCCCAGACCTTTAAAATGAGACCCCTCCCAGCTTTCTACGCCCTCCGGTTCGCTCACAATTTCATTGTAAAATTTTGGGCTTACGGAATTAGATATATAGATGATTCTGTGTCTAGTTTTGAACCCTTAAATAACGATGCCGGTTTTGGTTGCACATTGAAAATGAAGGCCAAAGTGGACCAAGAGCCAACGACCAAATAAAAGACACTATTTACATGTATTTGGTATTTTTAAGTCACCTGAGCTACCGAAGGGACATACTTCGGGTGTTCTGTTTCGGGTACTAAAAAATGTTACTGTACAGTAAACGATTTGTACTAGACATTTTGAGGTGGATGAAATGGTATAACAAGAAAAATTTTATCATAGAATTCTAATTGCGAAAAAATGTATTTCATTAAAAAATGTAAATACTATGAATAAGGCACTAAAGGACCGACGACATCAAGTTAACTGACGAAACTTACTAGAAGTTAAAGACAAGAAAAAAAACTCTAGACACTCGATTACTGCTTTGAAGCTGAAAAAGTTTAGGAAGGAACCTGGATTATTTATAAGCTAAGAACCTCAAATATTTAAAATTGAAAAGTAAGTCTAGATCAGAGGAAAGTAGGAGATTAGTTAGCACAGAGAAACAAAATTACTCTTTGGTGGTCGTAGTATGAACCTTCTTTCATTAAAATAAAATAACAAAATAGCTTTACTTCTTATAACATCCAAAAAATAATAGTTAAGGACTTCCATATTGACTTCTCAATTCAATTTGTTTTAACTAACATCTCTTATCTGACTGAACTTCATAGAAAAATACTTGTCAATGCGAGTGGTAAAACAATAATCAAAATTATCCGCACGTATTCCCAATAAATCAACTCAGACAACTGAAGTTGAAACAAGGCCATGCATTTACGTGTCAACTTACATGGTGAGTTCTATCAGTTGAATTTACAATGAGATTGTTTTGACAACGTTAACAACACATTGTATAGCATGGAAATGGGTTTGAAATTGTGCAGATCAGTACGGTAATCAAAATTGTATAACGTACGGTGTCATGTAAAGCATTAAAATAAGAAGCATGTAACTTTTAGAAGCATATTAAAACCAATTAATCAACCTGACTCATACTTTCTCCCATTAGCTTGTCAACAACCCTTATCATGGGCAAGTGGGAGTAACCATGTCAGAGGTAAAAATCACAATCACTTTTGAACATCATTTTTACAGCTTTGGGGGTTGTACCATTTTTTGGGGGATAATTCTAATCATATGTATTTTACCTATTTTATCTTTTAACATATATTTCTGACACATTAAAACAAGTTTACTATTGATGGATTAAATATAAAACTTTTCAAAATTTTCAATTTACTTGAATAAAAAATTTGTAAAGCTGACAAAAATTAACATGACGATTTACCATACACAAAAGAATATTGGACAGGAAAAAGCTTAACCGTATTGTTGAATGGTTATGACTAAATTTTTAAACTCTTAAAAAATGTTAAGTACAATCTTCATTCCTCACGAACTGTAGACTGTAACCAAAATTAAGATGAAACCGAAACAGTACTTTTAAATATTTTCTAATAAACAGTTCCACACAAAAATTTGAAAAAAGTACCCACCATCATAAGTGTATATTATCAATAACCATAAACCTATAGGGGATACAGAGGCTCCAAGCACCATATACATGGGGACAGACACTCGCACAGACAACGACTGGGAATGGTATTTTCAGACCTCTGAGCTCCCTACCCCTCTGGGTACACCGACGCGTATGAGTCACTGGTATTAATAATTTTGACTCTTTGATAAAATCCGTGACTGCGAAAGAAACAAACAAAGTTAGAGAGCCTGCCAACGTAAACTGTGAGATCTGCTTCAATCGGGGGAGGGTAAATAAATGGTGTCGCTACAGGATTCAGGTTTTCCAATGACTCAGTTTTGAAAATGTATTCGCTAGATATAA